AAGTTGTAGAATCATCTAATTTTAATTCAATCGGTTTAAGAAAAAAAGTAGATACAATACTAATTTACTAGAAAATGTAATGGAGTTTGCTTTTGTTTTTCTACTCCTGGGGTTAGAGCAAAATAAATATTTGGTTTTGTTACTAGGCTTCAATAAATTGGTGCTTTGGTTTTTGGTTCCAAAAGTCAAATTCAAGCCACTGAATCCAGCTCCATTTTTTACTAACTGCTCCTCCCCTTTTATATATATTCACATATATGTAAAATATGTCATATATATTTAAACATACCTTTAAAGAAATTCACACTTAGATGTGGGTTTTAATTGCTATCCCTACATTATGACTCTTTAAAGAAAATTAAGAGAATTTCATTTTGATGAAGACATATTCAACAGGAAGTTTTACCCAATTTAATTTTTTAATTTGCATTTTCATGTATTTTTTGGAGTCCCTACTATATTATAACATTGAGCTAGATGTTTTCATACACATAAACTCATTTTTTAAAACTTGGGTGTATTTTGCTACATATATGCTGCCTGAGGAGAGAGTAAGCAATATTTCTATGAAGCAACCCATATCACATCACTGATGGCCCATAACACATCACTGATGGGTACTGTATAAGCAACATCCTGACATTCTAGTATACCTTACGCATATAGCTTAGAACTTAGTTATAAAAACTGCCTGATGCAACTTGAAGAATTCTCCGGAGGAAAAAAAATGATTAAAAGCTGCATGTATGTGCAAATGTACACATTTCCTAGACAACATAGTCAAACCTCAACAGTCCATTTCCAGATTCTTTGTTCTTAATCACTAGGCTGTATGCCTGCTTATGTGAAAAAAGAAGCAAGATATGACTTATAAAACAAAATAACTGAGTCAGGCAAAAAACAGTAGTTTCTAGAACAACGAATCACATTTCTGAAGTTAGTACACCAAGAAGTATTAGTATTAATTATAAACAGGCATTTGTAGAAAATTTACTGCAATAAAATTATTTTTCTTTTGTGAATATACTTAATTATCAAGAAGTTCCTAGGTTTTTCTTTGTTAACTCTGCACTCAGATGCAACCTCTGAGGGGATATCATAAATCTAGCAAACCATTCCAGTGTACCCTCTCAGGGGATGTAAAGAGCTTGCTGGTAATACACAGGGCAAACTTATGCCAGTATAAGTGTTTCAAAAATGTACGTTTTCTTGAATTTTCCATTCAGACTGTACTAAAAAACAAACAAACAAATGATATGGAATATATGCCAAGAGATATGTAAGAAAAAAAAATTAGCTGACATTAGGTAGAAAGAGAATGTATGAAGTGCTTCCATAGTGAAAGGAAGCTGTAGGTATACCCTATGTACCATATGGCATAACTTGAAAAGATAGATAAGCAAATTACTGTAGCTTTAAAAGAAAGAGACTTTCAAAGATGAAGGCAGATGGTATTGAAGTAGCAAGCAGCACAAATCGCACATATCTATCCACACTAAGTCGGAAATTAAAGGGTGAATATTATTTATACCATATACAATCCAAATGAGGCTACCAAATGCAGTATACATATTTATGCACTAACTGATTCAAAGACAGGGTATCTTTTTTTCAGCACCTCCCTATTATGACAGCATAACATCCAAAAACATCATTCGACCTGATCTTCCAATAAGCACCAGAATTCCATTACATTTATATAAAAAGTTGTTGGGAAAAGTTCCCAATGCAGCAGGATACCACATGTTTACTGACCGATATTATACTATTACTGTCTTAGTAGAAGAGCTACTAAAGATGATGTCATCTTACTCCTATAATCAAAGTGAACTGAGAGGGAATACCAGCACAAATCAAAAAGCCAAAGTTTTTAAGGAAAAAAACAGGAGCGTATAATCCTACTTTTTTTGTGTGGAAGAACAAAAGGACATTACAATTCTCAGCACATGGAATCATGAAGGAGTGAAATCTACCACAAGGGCATCATGTGGTGGAAATATTACATCAACCAAAAAGTCTGAAATGATCCCAAATTCTATTGCAAACATGAGTGGTGTGGATCATGTAGATCAATGTGCTTCTACATATTGTTTTGGTGAAAATCTTTAAAAATAGTGGAGGACATTCTTCTTCTAGGGACTAGAAATATGTTATTAACTCCTAATGTTTTAATGTACCGAACATTAGAAAAATGATAAACCTATGTTCCATTTGAAGTTTGTCAAGCTTCTTATCAATCAGTGGAGAAGTAGTTTTCAGAAATCATGAGTAGGTCCTTCTACATCGTCTTTGAACAACAGACTGGACAATAAATTACATATTATTAAGATAGGAGGAAGAAAACAAGACTGCATTGTCTGCTTGTATAGAAATACACCAGATGGAAGATGTCCACCAAATTACTATCACACAACATGTATCAATGAACCTGCAATGCACACAGGTGATTGCTTCACATATTACCACGTTAAAAAAATGTCAGATATAAAATTTTGATTTTTCATTATAAATACGTTCTTTAATGTCCAAAATTCCATTATAAGCCAAATATCATTACAATAAAATAATTGGCTCCAACATTAAACTATTTAATATGAAGTGAGTCGCTTTTCACTATTTCATAAAATAGATGAGTTACTAGTAAGTAATCTGTGAGATGACTCCAAGTGCAAAGCATTAATGTTATATCACCTGATATCTTTGTGATCTCTTTATAGATTTTAAAGCATTTCATAACCTAAGATCTAATTTAATCGTGCCAGCAATATTATAAGTAGATGTGATGGTTAATTTTATGTGTCAATTTGGTTGTACCACAGTACCCAGAAATTTGGTCCAACATTAATATGGATGTTTCCATGAAGGTGTTTTTTTTTTTTTTTTTATGAGATTAACAATTAACTTGATGGACTCTGAATAAAGTAATCACCCTCCATTTGAATTTTGAGGGTGGGCTTATCTAATCAGTGAAAGACCTCCATAAAACAAAGACTGACCCACTGGAACAAGAAGGAATTCTGCCAGCAAATAGCCTTTGGGTTCAAATTGTAATTCTTCCCCGAGTCTCCAACCTGCCAGCTAATCCTGCAGATTTGGGGTATACCAACACTCCACAATTTCATCAGTCAATTCCTTAAACTATCTTTCTCTTTCTCTAGATAGTCTGCTAGATAGCTAGATAGATATAGATATCTATAAATTATAAATGTATTACAACAGGTAGAGATATCTATATATGCATAGAGAGAGAGATATGGAGATATCTATGCCCATATATATATATACACACACACATACACACACACACATACACACACACACACATAGGCAGCTGGCTCTTGAACAACAGAAGTTTGAACTGCAAGGGTCCTCTTACATGCAGATTTTCTTCTACCTCTGCTACCCTGTGACAGTAAGATCACACTCCTCTTCCTCCTCAGCCTAATCAAGGTGAAGATGACAAGGAGTAAGACCTTTATGATGATCCACTTCCACTTAACAAGTAGTAAATAAATTTTCTCTTCCTTATGATTTTCTTTTCTAGTTTCTTTTATTTTACAAGTACAGTAAACATTATTTAAATGTGTATTTATGTTATCAGTAAGGCTTCTGTTCAACAGTAGGCCATTAATAATTAAGTATTTAAACATCTAAAATTTGTACATGGATTTTCAACTGCTTAGCACTCAATAATCCTAACCCCTGTGTTGTTCAAGGCTCAAGGGGTGTGTGTGTGTGTGTGTGTGTGTGTGTGTGTGTGTGTATGCATATGCATATGCATATACATATACACATCCTGTTGGTTTTGTTTCTCTGGAGAACCCCAATAAATACAGAACGGTAGGTGAAAATTAAGGCAAAAATAATGGAGCACAGGAATTCAGATCCATGCCTTTGTCTCCAAACATTCTTAAAAGGATTATAAAATAAAATTCTCAAGAAGCTAAACTGGAATTCAGTTTTCATATCTGGAACCATTCATCCTGCTATTCTTTTTCTTTTAAAACTATCATTTGACAAAACTAATCAACTCTGGGAAACAGTCTGTCAGACTCTACTCAAAAAGTTAAGCATAAAGCAATTTCACTCCTTGATATATACCCAAGAGAACTGAAAACAATGTCTACATACACACACAAAAAGATGCTCATAACAGCATTATTCAAAATAGCCACAAAGTAGAAACAACATAAATGCTCATCAATTGTTAAGTGGTAAACAAAATGTGGCATATTCATGCAATGGAAAGATCCAGCAATAAAAAGGAACACAGTACTGACACATGCTATAAAATAGATCAGCCTTGAACACTGAGTAAAAGAAGACAGATAAAAGGCCACATATTGTGTGAATCCATTTTTATAAACTGTCTAGAATAGGCCATCCATAGAGATAAAAAAAAAATTAATGGTATTCAAAAACTGGGTAAAGGAGATCTATGGGCAGTGAATGCTGATTGGCATAGGATTTTCTACTGGAGTGATTAAAATGTTCCTCAACTGGATAGCAGTGATGACTGTACAACCTTATGAATACAGATGCTCTTCGAATTACAGTGGGGTTACACCCTGATAGACTCATCATAAGTTGAAAATATCACAGTCAAGAATGCATTTAATACACCTAACCTAACAACCATTATAGCTTAGCCTACTCTACTTTAAACATGCTCAGAGCACTTATATTACCCTACAAAATCTTCTAACACTAAGTTAAAATACTTAAATAAAGTATTAACTATCTCATGCAATTTTTTGAATACTGTACTGAAAATAAAAAGCCAAATGGTTGTATGGGTACTCATAGTACAATTTCTACTGAATGTGTATTGTTTCACACAATTGTAAAGTTGAAAAATTTAAGTGAAACCATTGTAAATTAGAGACCATCTGTATACTAAAGGTAACTGAACTATACACTTGAAAATGGTGAATATTACGAAAGGTGAATTATATCCCCCCAAAAAAGTATTAAAAAATAAAAAAAACCTCACAACTTACCTGCCCCTTTTGAGGTGCTAAACAACGGACAACCTCATCCACCATGACTGGAATATGTAATTTAGTTGTAGCTTCAGAATCTTTATCTTGACAGCTGTGCAACTCTTGAGCTCCAGTTTGAACTGTTTGCTTCTCCGCGTCATCTTCATTATATCTTTCTGCTGTAGTATGTATTTTTTTTGGCCAGATACCCAAATTGAGTATGCTAGGCTCCAGCCAGCATGAAAAAAGTTCCTTATATTTTCTACAATATTGGTATCGAAGCATTCTGCAGGTCAACAAACCTAGAAAAAAAATTTAATATGATTGTTGGATGTTTTAAAAGAATGTTATGATGCTCAGGGGTAAGTAAATTAATATGCAATACTCAACTCCCCCAAAATATGCTAAGACTCATCATCTGAACATCTTAAACAAGTAAAGGTGACTAACCTCATACAAAGCAAGGAACCTAAGAAAACGTGGAAATATAGTTTAAATATAATGTTTTAATGTGGCCTTACAAGTTCTAAGACCATTAACATTTTAACTATCGGGGATATAAAAACTGATTGTTCAGTCAACATTTCTCTGAAATACACTTTTAAAAGTGTTAATGAAGTCTAAAGAGTGAATTCAATGAATTAAAACAGTTCATTTAAAAAACTATCTGGGCCTGGGCATGGTGGCATACACCTATAATCCCAGCACTTTAGGAGGCCTAGGTGGGAAGATTATTTGAGCCCAGGAGTTCAAGACCAACCCAGGCACATAGTGAGACCTTGTCTCTACAAAAATTAAAAATTAAAAATTAAAAAATTAGCCAGGTGTGGTGACACGTACCTGTAGTCCCAGCTATTCATGAGGTTGAGGCTACAGTAAACCGTGATCCTTCTAGCCTAAGCAACAGAGTGATACTCTGTCTCAAAACAAACAAACAAAAAAACCTTTCTGGATTAACTGAAGAGATTATAAATTTTAATCCTATTTTAGAATACAAGTTCTTCTATTTGTTTTTCTCATAATGCTAAATTCTTGCCTTTAATTTTAATTTGAATGAGAGACTGTCTCTGGAAAAAGACTATGTACAGAAAAAAACTACACGTGTATATACAAAAGAAAAGGATATCATCGGTTTGTGAAAATCTTGTATATTTGTCATGGATATTCTCTGACGGGGTCATCTCACCACAGCCTGTATCAGCAGAGTATATATCAATGTAAACTATAACTTTATAAACACTCAACTGAACACACTTTGGCATTTCATAGCCACCTTTGTTTTAATTGCTTGTCCCCTGTGCCCAAAAAACAGCAAGTAAATTGATACATTCTTTGAATTTATCATACTTGCTCCATTTTCTTCTGCAATCTGTAACTCTTTGAAATGCAGAGGAAAAAAAAAGTATTTGTGTTAACAGAAGACCTTTTGAAAACATTATGTTTTCTACCCAAATGGTTTCAAGCAACATTTTTTATTCTACCACAGTAAATACCCAGGTAATACCATTCTTTTCTCACAGATTATGAATTGTTGAATAAGACCTACACTTTTGTATCCATAAAATCAGATACACACTAAGTGCTTACTAAGTGTTTTCTGGGGGAAAAAAATGAATGGATGAACTAATTCCAGTTTCCACAGAATTGACATTTTTATCAATCCTCACTTCAACAAATTCTGCCTGTCTGATTGACCCCACCAAAAAAACATGTTTTCAAAATCATCCAAGAAACATAAATCCCACTTAAATATGATTTTCCTTTTTTTGCAATAAGAAATGAAGATTAACATTGAAAATTTGAAAAAAAGGCAATGACCAAAACAAGAAGAGATACAAATATATGCTATTACATAAATATAACATCCACCAGATATTACCTTGAAGATTATACATTAACATTACCAAAGATGTAATCCACATAGTAATGTGGCAAGCAAGTGTGTCATAGGAAAAATGTGGCAAAAAAAAGAGAGAATAAATGAGTGTTCTAAGTGACAGCAGTGACAAATTAGCTAAATTATTAATTATGCCTTAGATTCCCAGAAAGCTTATACAAAGCAAACCCAACTACACTCCAATTTAGTGATATAATATTTTTCCAAAATAGCTAACATTTACTTATTTACTATTCTAAGCACAGTATATATATGAACCCATTCCATTTTTACCATAAGTCCTGGAGACAGTTATTACTACTCCCATTTTACCAGTGAGGAAACAAAAGCTAAGTAATTTGCCAAAGGTAACACAGCTAGAGAGCCATAAAGTAAAGCTAGACTTGACACACAAGTAGTTTATCTGAGGATTCTGAATCCTCATGCTATAAACATAGCCCACTGGAACTATTTAATGCACTAACGTAATTTAATGGTACTTTAATAACATTGACTATATATTTGTATCTCATAAATTAGATTTTTTTTTTTAACAGGATCTCACTCCGTTGCCCAAGCTGGAGTGCAGGGGCATGATCAGAGCTCACTGCAGCCTCGAATTCCTGAGCTCCTCCCATCCTTCTGCTTCAGCTTCCCCAGCAACTGGAGCTACAGGTCCGTACCCCCATGTCTTCTATTTTTTCTACTATGTTGCTAGGGCTGGTCTCAAACTCCTAACTTCAAGCGATCCTCCCACCTCAGCTTCCGGGTAAGAGCTGGGATTACAGGCATGAGCCACCACGCTCTAGACAGATTCAATTTTTTTTTTTTTTTTTTTTATGAGTTGAAGCCGCACTCTGTCGCCCAGGCTGGAGTGCAGTGGCACGCTCTCAGACACCCCAGCGTTGACCTGCTGGGCTCCGGGGATCCTTCTGCCTCAGCCTTCCAAGATTCAACTTTTTTTTAAAGGAATCAACACGCTGTGGCTAGGCCCTGCTCCACTTGGAAATAACAGTCTGCTGGAGGTACTCAATAGAGAATATACAACGAATAGGTCTAAACAGTAAAATGTGAAATCATTGTTAAAAACTGATACTATATGTCCAGATTTTGATAAATTTTTTAAAAACATCAATTCCAACATAGGAATGAGAACTACATAGGAAAAAGAGGAAGAAGACAGAAAAAAACGCTATCATCTGCGTTTAATTGTTTTCTACTGCATTCAGTTTTAATGTATTTATTCAACCAGGGTCAAGATACAAAGCCTTGATTACGAACGAATTGGCCACTAACCTTGGGGCGTCAGAGAATGGGACACAAACCTCACCGGGCTAGTTGCTGTAATGCCTCCCTAAAACTGGAAAAGAGCAAGCTCTAACCGAAGTGTCTTCCTTCTCTCTGAAGCCCGATTCCCTACGGGACCACCCCGAGCCCTCCTGCAGTCTTCCAGGAGTCTGCCACCCGAAACGACTTGAGACGAAGTCCGTCTGGGCACAGGAAGGAAGCAGGGAGCCAGGAGTAACTCGGTGGCGTCCGGCTAAGTCGCTTCCCTTCCCCCTGCCAGTCAAGCTCAGTGTCCACCGTCAGGACCACACAACTGGCCACGCCTGGCCCTTCAGTGTGAGCGCACAGAGGCGGGTGGTGCCCGCGCAGGCCGCTTTCTCGGGGGAGCTGGCCATAGAGACGGGGGCCCTCCGTCTTCCCGGGCGGGGGAATCCTGTTGGAGAAAGAAGGTCTGCAGGCGGAAGAGCGCGACCTGGAGCCTGGCACCCGAACGCCGAGAAAGTGAAAGAGGAAAGGGGGGAAGGCACGCTTGGGCTGAAGAATTACGCCCGGACGAGGAAAAACTATCTGGAGTCGTCAAAGCCAGGTTGCCGGCGTGTGGAGAGCGGGGGCGGGGCGGGGACGTGTGCTTCCCTGGCGCCGGCGAATCCCGCGGCTCCCGAGGGCCCCCCCAAAGGCGTGGGGGTTTCCAGTAGAGCCCCTGGGGCTCGGTCACCTTCTTCTCACCTGAGGCACGAAGACTTCCCAGTGGGCCTCTTACTTGGCCCAGCGACGACCCCTAGGGCGCCCGGGAAACCAATGCGCCGCACGTCTAGGGCCCCGCCCTGGGGGACACTTGGAAGCGCGGACGGTGGGCCCACGTCCGACCCAGCAACCGAGCCCCGTCGGCCTTTGGTTCCGCGGCTTTCAGCCCCCACCGCTGAAGGTCTTGCTGGTGCTGGGGTTTCCTTCCAAGCGACGTTCCCGGGGGGCTGCGGGGGGATAAATAAGACCTCACCATTGCCATGTTTTTAAATTCACTTTCACTTTTTTGTAAATGTCCGAGGCAACTTTAACTTTCCATCCATACCTCTACTCTTCGGTTTCCTGTAAAAACGTATATAAAATTTGAGTTCTGAAAACAGGGCAGCTCGTTATACTTCAGGTTCTAAGAAAAACTGGGAATTTCTGTCTGAGTTCTACATATTTAGAAAGTTTTAATTCGATTTCCTTACTAAATACGCCATTCTCTTACCCTTTCTGTTATACCTACCTCCTCAATGTCTTGACAAACTAAAATCGTGGCCAGCTGGCACAGTAATGGCATTGACTGTAAAGTCAAAATCTCTGCTTTAACCAAAGGTACAATTCCTTAAAAATAAGGACCTCATCCTCTAAACACCGCTAACTGTCAAACGAGTAACGCTGAATTTGAAATTAAAAGTAAGTATGTGGATTAGGTGTGGAAATATCTAAGCCTTATACAATGCTGGTGTCAAAAAAAAAAACAAATTCCAAACACTTCTATTTATTTATTCACCAAGGATCGATGCAATTTTATAACCAATTGGCAAAATATGCATATTTTCAGACTAAGTTTTCATCTTAAAGTCACTTCATCCACAAAGTATTTCATAGACAAATGACTCAGTTATAAACTGGTTAATTTGTACAGTTCAAGGCAAATATTTTCCTTCAGAAAATATTCAAAAATTTTTTTTGAAAATTTCTGTTTTAGCTCAGTAAAGTGAAGACAACGGTGCGTACGTCTCCCGGGCTGTTTTGAGAATTAAATGAGATAACATGTGCAAAGTGATTAACAAAATGCCTGGGAAGTCAAATATAAAGTACTACTATAGGGTGAGTGCAAGTTTGCAATAAAATAAACAGGTTTCTAAATTTTATTACCAAGCCCAGAACCATACAACAACTTCATTAGCTAAGATACATGTAATACAACCAGAAATAAGTAGTAGCCTTATTGACGCTCTATCTAGTGTTCAGAAATGATAACATGTAATGTGTAATACAATACTCCCTATTTTCTTACAAAGACAATAAATTTCCATACCATGAGGCTTTCCCGTACATTATTTATAATACTTTACCCTGGTGTTGCGCCATCCTATTGATAAAGTGATATTGAATCAACAGAATACAAGCTCCAGAAGGGGAGGGATTTTGACTCTATGATGTATTATGGTGTCTAAAATCTACAGTTACTGCTGCAGGAATGGATACAATATTAGTTACATAAAGAGCAACAATGACATTCAGATCATGCTATTATTAAAAATATCCTGCCGAATAATGATGAGCTATCTTAGAAATGTTATCTCCCATTTGTCCCGGTAATGTCTCTTTTTTTAAAGTGTACATTCTGGAATAACACCTACCCCCCCCACACACACACACTTCATCTAATAAGGAATTAGTCCAAAATCTTTAAATACATTTATTTTGTTATGCCATCGTTAGGAAATGTAAACAAGCAACCGGACACCCATCAGTCAGTTTCACGGTCTGCGCTAACGGGAACAGGCCTGGGAGTCCTGGGACATGCAGGCTGAGGCCTCAAACCAGAACACCCGGCCTCCCGGGAAATTCAGCGAGGAGAACCCACGGCTCGGCCCAAGTGAACGTGGCTGCGAGAAGCAGGTCCCCGCAACTTCCCGGAGGCCTCGCGACTCGAGACCAGAAGAAAACAAACACCCAGAACCCACTCATCCACACCCCACAGGCTCCTCCTCTGCCCCTTGCAGAGGGCACAGGCCACCCCCTGCCCGCACCCGCCTCACTCACACCCTGCACCCCGGGACCAGGCCTCGCACCCGCCGGTCTGGTGCTGCCGGAGGATCCCAGGTGGCTCGTCCCGGGCAGGTGGCAGGTGGCAGGTGGGAGGCTGGTCCCTCCCACCGGCAGCTTCGGCCGAGCCCCGCCCATCTCTGCCACGGCCTCCGGAAGCGGCCCAGCGCGTTGCCACGGCGACGCGCCGCCGAGTCTCCGGGCGCCGAGCCGCCGCGCGCCGTGACACCACCCGACGCGCTGACGTCACGGAGGCGGCAGCCAATAAAGCGAGGCGCTGCGGCATCTGGCTGGAGTTTGAATTTGGTGGTGGTGGAGTTTGAATTTGGTGGTGGTGGAGTTTCAGGCGCCGGGAGGCGAACGTTGACGGGAAGTAGCGGCGGTGGCCTTCCCCGGACCTGAGGTGCGTGAAGCGGGGCGCGAAGGGACGATGCGGGTTTCTGGGACGCCCCCCGGGGTGGCCGGTCTCCTCGGGAGCGGAGGGTCCCGCCGCCCCCCGGGGAGAGGACCGGGTGGCCTTCTGGACAAATCCGGAAGCGCTCAGGGACGGGGAGCGGGGGAACGCGGTGTCCGGGGCCCCGGGGCGGAAGCGGCCTGAGGACCGGCTGCCGGAACCCGCTCGGGGCACAGCTGAGCCCCCTCGACGCCCTCGCCCGCCCCGCCGCCGGTCCCGAGGGCACGTGGGAAGTTTTAAAGGGCCTCTGGCGCGCTTCCGGGCCGTGGCCGCGGACGTGAACTCCAGCACCTGGCCGCGGGAGCGTTCTTCCGGGCTCCGCCTCGGAGCCCTCCGGCCTTGGCCCGCGGGACCGTGCTTCCCGGAGTCCCGCTCGCCGCCCTGCCCTAGGCCGGAGTCGCCGCGGGCGCTTCTGCGACGCCGAGAGGGGCTTGGTCGAACCGGTTCCCGGGTCTTGAAAGGCGTTGTGGTCGTGGCGGGCCCACGGGACGCAGATCCCCTGTATGTGCAGTAGCCGTCCGTCAATAGAGCTCTGTTTTCTTTTTTGAAGATGTGGGGTGGGCCGGGCGCGGTGGCTGGCGCCTGTCATCCCAGCTCTTCGGGAGGCGGAGGCCAGAGGACGGCCTGGGCAACTTGAGGAGACCTGTCTCAACAATAAAGAAAGCCTTAGCCGGATGTGGTGGCGCGCGCCTGTGGCTCCAGCTGCTTGGAAGGATGATCACCTGGGCCTGGCAGGTCGAGGCTGCAGGGGCCGTGAGCGTGTCAACTGCACTCCAGCCTGGGCGACAGAGTGAGATTCCGACTCAGGAAATAAAATCGTGGGGTACCATTCGGGGTTAGGTGTACAAGTGAAGTTTGGGCCTCCCTTTGGTCTCCACTTCACCTGGTTTGAGATCAGATACCCTCACTGATGAAGTGTGTCCCCCTTCCTCCCCCCCCTTTTTTTCAAAATTATTTTTATTTTGTTATTTTAAAGATGTGGGGTACTCTTCAAGATTAGGTACACAAGTGGTCGTCGTACAGGTGCCCTTGCTGGTGTTAGTGCTCCCTCCTCCGTCTCCCGGCAGTTTCTAGCTGCTGCCAATTCCTATCTTATAGCATTATGGTCCATGTTCAGATAAAGCTCTTTCTAAGGCGGTCATGTGTAGATTGCGACTTTTGCCTGTTGATGAACTTGACGCTGTGTCCTACGCCGTGTGTCTCCCCCGACTTAATTCCAGGACGTTATGTCTGCACCGCCCGGCGCCTTCACATGCGGATGGTCTGGGTGTAGCCAGGGGAACTCGTAGCTGCTTTGTCCCAGTTTTCTGTAGGCGATTTTGCTGATTGTGCAGTTTCTTGTAATGTCGTTCCAAGTCTGAGTTAGTGAAGGACTAACTCAGGACTGGGACACTGTGTTTGCGGTTAAATTTTTCACCACAAAGTTTCTTGGTGTAAGACCGTTTGGTTTTTAAGATGTCCACCTTGTGATCAATATTTTCGTTTAATTCCTTTTGCCAGTCTGTGAAGTCATTTATAGGAGTCATCATTGATGGTATTCACTGTGTGATACTGTGGTACTTGACGTGTAAAGTTAAGTTTATGTTTAAAATCAAATGGGTCTGTTTTAACTTCCTGAATTTCTGCTTCTTATATTCCTGAAATAATTCCAACTGCTGCAAATATTCGAAGGAGTTTACTCATATGGTATCAGTGGTGGTCAGTTTGGTGAAATGAGTTGTCTGTTAGACCTTGTCCCCTGAATTGTATACATTGTGGTTGGAGGTTTGTGACTTTAAATTGCTCTTTCTTGAAAAATATTTTGGCACTTCT